CTAGGGAAAAAAGTTTTCTCTCCTTAGAATATTACAATATTATAAAAACCAGCTCCCGGATGAGAACAGTGCAGTCTCCTGCCCCCGCGCCTGAATGTCCTTGCCGCCGGGGCCCCTTGGAGGGGAGCGGGTTGAGCTTTCCTCCCCGCCCCGACCAGGGCTCCGGCAGCCAAAGACCTTCAGGACCAGCCACCACCATGCTGAGACTACTCTCTGCACACATGAAGGTACTGGCAGAGGGACAAAGTCACGCGGGTTCCAGGGCCGAGATCTCCAAGCCTACTCAGATTTGGGCCAAGCATCCTCCACCCAGATCCTCCAAATTCCAGTAGGCAGGGGTCACACCCACCAACTGGCCCCCTGGCGCCGTGTAATCCCATCAACGGCCAAGACTCAGAGACTATAAAATCCAGCTCCCGGACATCTTATTATGACATTTTATTATCTCTCTCCTACTTTGGACAAACTGGCAGGCTACCGAATGTAGCCTGCCTGCACGGCAGAGTCTGGCAAACTCCCCAATATGCCAAATACTAGTAACAATGATGGGTCTCATTCTCCTAAAAAGCCTTGAATATAATTTCAGGGCTAGGATGAAGGAGACGTTACTGGGGCCTGCTCGAGGCAATCGACGATTAACAGGATGATTTGTGATTTTTGTGAGAATATTACAAGAGTCAAATGTGACAGCTTATCTCTACGAGTTCACAGCTTTAAATTCAGTATTAGGAATATTATTTTGGCAGGAAATTGGAATATTTTATAGATATTTATCACTTGTGCAAAAGAGGCCTATATTTAGAATTTGCTATGCTGGGAAAACTTCTTGAAGATGTACAGTAATATAGTTAGATAATAAAAATGGTCACTTTTTATGTCTTTAAGAAGATATCATGACTAACCATACCGACTCTATGTCAATAGCAAGTAACTTTAATCTCATATATTAGGCAGAAAAACTAGCTCTGAGAAACTACTTTATTTCTATTTGCCTAGTGTCCCAGGGCAGAACTGTGATCTTAAACACCATGTAATGTTACAGAATAATTTCTATACATTCATTGAAATTGTCACTTGGCAAAAAATAAGCCCCTAATTTTTTTCCCAGCTTATAACATCCAAAGATAGGATGTTCTTAAATGTATGATCTAAATGTTATCCTTTGTGCCAAAGAAATGCAAATCCTATATTTACTATCAGCATCCTAGTTTGAACACACAGTGTAGTGATTTTCCTCATGGCAATAAAACAATAATGATTTACCCACCCACATTCTAGCAAATTCAACGATTGGCCTGAAATCTCAACCGTGGATTTTTGTGACACAAACTCTAAAGAAGCTCTACAAAGTGATGCTTTCCTTCCTGCTGAGAAGCAAATAAGTGCACGCAGCAGGTCTGACCCAAACAGTCACATCAGTTAAGTTGAAACTTAACTCCCCAGCAGAAAAATCTTCTCCAGACAGCTGTCTGGAAATGCCTGGAGGCATGGGGCTAGAGAAATGAGTGTCCATCTACTCAGCCATAGTTTCCCTGTGTCTTCTACCCTGACAGTGACCTAACAGCTTAGAATAGGTTGTAGCTATTTACTCTGTAAATGTCAGTTACAATCAATTAACTCAAACTTCAGAGATGGAGACAATGAGCCACTACCCAGATATAGAAACTGAGGCACTATGTAGAGACAGGTGAAGCTTCTAGAGAAACTAAAGGTGATCACAGTATGAAATAACCCTCAAGAGTCCTAAGCTTTTTGCCTGTGACACACACTCTTGCAAGCATTTGTTGTTACTGTGGAGTTTTCATCTTGGAAACTTCAAAATGATATGTCACTATCTTGGAATGGAATATTTAAAAAAATTTATTGATTGATGTATAGTGATTTATAATAATGTTAATGATGATTTTATATATACATAATTATACCAGCACACCCATCACCAGTATAGCTACCTTCCTCCTCCAAAGTTCATAATAACCCTCTCTTCCTCCCTTTCAATCCCCCAAATCTCAGTTCTATGGATCAATTTTCTTCTCGTGTTGCCTTTGATCCTTTGTTGCTACCTCAATGAGTTTCTTTCAGTCCCATATATGAGAGAGATCATTCTGTATCTATCCCTTTCCTTCTCACTCAGACTTACAATCTCTAATTCCATCCAAAGACATAGATCAGCTTTTATGGCATTCTTACTTTTTTCTCTTGAGATGACTACTGATATCACAAGTGACTGGAAATGCTTATAGAGCATGTTTAATAAAGAGTTGGCAGAAAGATGATGCAAGAGAGGATGCCCTAGTAAGCAATACTCTAAGGTGAATACCTAATCCAAATAAAAGGAGCCTATATCCAGTCAAGCAGGACTTGGCATACCTTTGCTTCAACATTACAAAATTAGCTCTGATTTTCTTCACATGTCAGGAAACACCATGCATCACATGGAATCCACCTTATGGAGAAACTCCCAAGAGTCCAGGGACTGTGAGAATGTTTCCACTTTGGTGTCTGCAATGCTGTGAGGGGCTGAGACCCTGTTCTCCAGCACCTGATGGCTCCTTCTCCACAGACCCCAGGGGATAATTATCCCTGAATTTCCTTCATGCTGTATTTCCTTCATGCCTAGTTTCCTTTCACCCAACTCTCATCTTGGTCCTTTGTCTATACTCCAAACCTCCCCATTCTTCCAAACTTGCCCATGTATAGTAGTTTCTAACATACCCTTCTTCAGAGGTTGATAAAGTGGCTGGTTTTCTTTGCCTCTTAAGATAAATTTTCTAACTTGGTCCAACTTTCCATCACTAATGTAGGATTACCTTTCTGACCTTTCCAGAATTAAATTCCCTGGTTAGTTTTTTATAGGTATCTTATAAATACTGCATCAGAATTAAACATATTAATTAGGGGCCAGAATGATAGATAGTCGGGTGAGGTGCTTGTCTTGCATGCAACCAAACAGGGTTTTATCCTTGGCATCCCATATAGTTCCCTGAGCACCTCCAGGAATGATCCAAGAGCGCAGAGCGAGGAGTAAGCCCTGAGAACAGTCTACATGGACCCAAACCAATATATATATATATATGTAACATCATATACATAATTATAGAAAAACTGCTAAGAAACACTGAGCATCAAGCAAAGCATCAAATACATGGACCTGTGATTTGTAGGCTGTGATTTGTGTTTTATTTCAATGTTTCATTTAAAAACATGCACAGCTATCTTTAAGACAGGGCATCATAGATAGGAACAAACATACAGGACTGGCACTAACAACCATCCTGGGGAAATGAGGCAGCTTGGGGTAAGGATGAGAGACTGACTTTTGACTATCTGTACTTTCCCTGGTTAGTACCTTTTGGATTTAACATTACGTTAATATTTTTTTGAAATAAAAACACTTTAAAAGTTATATCTTGGGCACATTTGCAATGACTTTCTGCTTCAAGTACTTCTCTCTTGCTCAATTATTTGCCTTGAAGGCCACTTAGTTTATAAATATTTCCCTAATCTTCACAACATTTTCATAGCAAACTATCAAGTTTATTTATGTATGTTTATACCATTTTCCTTCCCTGATTATTTGTAAGCTTTTGGAAAGTAAGGCTTCATTAGTCATAATGTTTCACAACATAGTTGCTTGGAAATTATAACGTGCAATGCCTATATATGAAGTTGATTATGGAGACAAATTTCAACTCTAAGGGGGCAGAGTCTATGGTGTTCTTATTCAAGAGCATGTTCTCAGAACTTGCAGGGGTATAGTAAGTGCATGAATTAAAAAGGAAAGTCATTCAATCCCAAGGTGACTTTTATTTTTGTTTTTTTAGGATTAATGTTTGGCTCACAAAAAAGCAATTCCCCAATGATTATAAGCATTGACAAGTTTCATAGCGGTAAAGTTAGAAATTAGGTTACAAGTTGCTCAAAGATTTCACAAGAAAGAAAAACCAACACAAGGATTGTTTGGGGGACAAATAATTAAGAGACTACCAGTCTAATTTAAAATGTAAAATAGAAAACGTATGCATAATTTCTCTTCTATAAACTAGCTTTTAAACATTTGTCTACTCATCATCCTTTTCTACATCATCCCCAGTTAACAGGATCTCTTTGCTTTCCACATCACAATAACCTGCTTTTCCTTCTACAAAATTAATCTATTGGTGTAACGTTAGTTTATAAAGTGTGTATATATGCTCCAGGAGCACCTAGTCTACCAACAATATTCCAACAACATACCAATATTCCCATTGCTTGGAGGATTCTTCCCTACCACTCCCCACTGCATTTGAGCATCTGTTGTTCTCTTGTCAGAGTCTAAGGGTTTGTTTTCACACAATGACTATTTCAAGCAGTTGTACAAGCACCCCTCCTGTTTTGTCTTCCACCTTAAATTACAAATAGTCACCTTTACTTTAATATATGCAGGTTATTTGACCTACATTATTTTTTTTTTGTTGCTGTTAACTTCTAATTTACCCTGTACTCTGAGCAAATCCTTGTTCCTTTCCCCAAATATAACTTCTTGTGATCACAGCCAGGAAAAAAAATTATATCCTAGGAATAGCCCACTTTAGCGCACATATCAGGACATTAAAGTTTCCTACTAGAAATAAGTATTTTTTATTATCTAATAATATATTTGAAACCTATGAAATCTTGAAAGGGAATGCAGATATGAAATGCTCAATCTACAAAATATTGATAGATAGGACCAAGTTGTCTCTTAGCAACTTTCTGACATAATGCTTTTCGTAAAGCAGTCTTTTGGTCTCAGAACATTAAGCAATTTTTTTAGCAGTCACAGATGCAAAGCTGGAATCTATTTACATCAATGTGGTTCAAAACATTGTAAATTATGTTTTGGCAGAGTAGTAATTAATAAAGCATCGTTTAACTTAGGAAAGATTAAATTTTTTTCATAGCTTCTGGAGTGAAAAATAAAATACTACAAGATGATTATCATTAAACATTAGTTTTCCCAAAAAGATACTTTCACTTACATCAAGAGAGCCTTCATTTATGACAATCATTCCCATGTTCTTCTTTAAGAGTTTACAGGAGTGTCCTAGTAAATGAACATATAGTAAATTAATTGATATAATTAACTTCTCTGAAAATAAGAGGTGAAGATGCTATAGGGATACTATCATCACGTTTACTTAAGTTTCACTTATATGGCATCTGTTTAGTAAGATTGATCGAAGATTGTCATTTTCCAGATCTGCAGGAAATTTAAGAAAGACTTTTCTAAATGGATATCAGGGAAACATTGGGTATAATGAGACTGTATCAATAAACAAGCATGGAAAGAGAAGGTGGTAATGATTCTAAATGTCTTACAAACAAACAAATGTATCCTTCTGATGGCCAATATGAAGAGCAGAGGATGTCCTAAGGGTAGTTTCAAAACCTAGGAATTGTTCAGGAAGCCTGACAACATCTTGGACCACTGCTATTTTCACTGATCCCTGCAACCCCAGAATTAACACGCCCTCCGTTCTCTTGTCTAGTCCTGCTCTGCCATTCCTGCTGGTGGCCAATTTCCCTGCAGGTTACATACAACTCTACTCCCCTACTCGGCCCCTATTCCCAGCTAACTTGACAGGAGAAATCAGGCAACTTTGCTAACGGGGTTCATTTTGAAATCAATCACACCGAAAACTATTCCAGCTCTAGGCACTCCTTTTGCTATCTATTTCCGTGCCCTGGACTTAAAGACTATGCGCAAGCTGGACCTTGCTGAATGTATATCTCCATTCAGATCTCTTTCCTAAACTGCAGCCTCTTAACTCCAGTGCTATCTAAAATGGGCACCTCAACCTCATCAGGCTCCCAGTCCTCACACGTGAAAATTGATAACATATTAAAATAATTTAACTACAGCAAACATATTCAGTAGATAAATAACTGCTTTTTTCTTGTCTGCCTTGGGTTTTATTCCTAGGCAGGTGTTTTCTTCTATTTTACTTACAGTTAAGCTCTAAAAGGTCTGTGATGGGCAAACAATCTCCTTCATCTTTTGGACACTGATATTTGTCCCTCAGAACTCTGAAACAGAGAAAATCTACATCTTTCCTGAGTGGACGGAAGCTACTGGAAATGCAAAAATGGCACTGGAATTGAGTGAACAGCTAAGTCCAATCATATGATAAATAAAAATATCTCAGTCTAACAAATCCTAAACTACCTAAAATCTATCTTCAAAAATGTACCAACCCCATAAAAAGTGTCACGATTTGTAGTTTGTTTTAGCACATTACCAATGTTAATGGCAGTTTCTTGTTTGTCTCCTGTCAGGATCCAGATTTTGATGTCTGCTTTCATAAGGGTTTCTATTGTTTCAGGCACTTGGTCTTGTAATTTATCCTCAATGGCCGTAGCTCCAAGTAGTTGAAGATTCTGGGAAAAAGAAGAGGCAAATATTCTAAAAGTCAGTTTAGATTCTCTAAGCACACACAAAAAACAAATTACGCATTTATTTTATAATCAGAAACTAAATAATTCAAGGACTTTGATGTAAATTCCAATGATTCCATTGACTTCTCTCTTTCATAGTTCCCTGACTTTCATCTAGTCCTTTTGGCATGAGACTGATGGTCCACGAGTGACCTATTTATCAATAAAGAAGGGATCTAATTCTACATACATGCATACATACACACATACACAAACACAAATATAGAGAGGGGAGGTCAAAATCACTTAAAAAGAAGCGGACTCCAAACAAAATCAAAAGCTATGGAAGGTGACGACAGTGATGAAATAATGTCGCTGACCTACTTTGAAAACAGAGTAAGGATATCTGCTGATACATTACATTATAATTTGATGCAGTGCCAGGAAATGTATATGCATAATATAATTATAAAAGATAAGGAGAGCGATGGGCTGGAGCGATAGCACAGCAGGTAGGGTGTTTGCCTTGCACGCAGCCAACATGGCCAACCCGAGTTCGATTCCTCCGCCCCTCTCGGAGAGCCCGGCAAGCTACCGAGAGTATCTCGCCCGCACGGCAGAGCCTGGCAAGCTACCCGTGATGTACTCAATATGCCAAACACAGTAACAACAAAGTCTCCAATGTAGACATTACTGGGCCCGCTCGAGCAAATCGATGAACAACGGGAGAACCGTGACCGTGACCAAGGAGAGTGATAAACAGGGCCATAGCTTTGGTCTTGGAAAGAAAGAACAGGTTGAGTGTTTCACATTGGTCCACATTTGTGTTTGTGTATGAAGGTCAGAGTCCACTAAAGATGTCTTGTTCATTACATGGAATCTTTCACACAAGACTGAACATAACCAATATGCTCTACACAAAGCTGTTCTGACCTCCCACCATCCAGAAGAATGGTTGCTATCCTCATCTCATCCATGGAGGAAAAACGAGAATAATCTGTTGGCTGTTAGGGAAACTTGGCTTGCCAAAAGGACAAGGTTCTTGGTACTAATTACATAGGAGTGCAGTGATGAACTAAGATTGAAACCTTCATTTCCATCATCTGACCAAGCCTTGCCACCAACCAGCTGGGTTCTCGTCCCAACAGTGCTCTACAAACCAGGGTAATTAAAACTCTAGGATAATTCACTTCAACAGTGATCTTCCGTCTTAATTTCCCCCTCCCTCTTCATTTTTAATTTAAGGTTGACAAGGACTAAATAGATATGAGGGAAACTGAGTTGTGAGGGTAGTGTGAGGGTTGATGAGAACAAAGAAAGAATCTCATTTTCTATTTATCATCTAACATTAAAATGTTTACTTTTTCACTAAAATAGAGGTAAAGAATTAGTTCCCATCATGGTAGGCAGGGAAAGTAAAATAAAATTTATAAGCAAATATGTAAGAATGTGTGTCTGCTTTCATAAGGATTGCACACACATATGTATGTCTTTCAGGCATATGCCAAATTGTTTTCAGAATATAATAGAATATTCTGAATAACAAGACATAAAGATTTAGTCTCATCTTATTAAGGTAGGTTATTGTGGACATTTCACTAGTGCCTCAATAATATCCCAACTAATTCTCCAGATATCACTGTCTCAAGGAGGCCATCCTGGCTGTAATCCTATCAGCCACAGTAAAGAGAAGGATAAAAAGAGGTATTACCAAAGATATACATTTCTTGGGCTAGAGCTATAGCACAGTGGGAAGGGCGTTTGTCTTGCATGTGGCCTACCTCGGTTCGATTCCTCTGTCCCTCTTGGAGAGCCTGGCAAGCTACCGAGAGTATCCCGCCCGCATGGCAGAGACTGGCAAGCTCCCTGTGGTGTATTCAATATGCCAAAAACAGTAACAACAAGTCTCACAATGGAGATGTTACTGGTGCCTGCTCAGGCAAATTGATGAACAACGGGAGGACAGTGATTTACAGTGACAGCGATCCATTTCTTATTTGTGAAAAAGAAAAATTGTTTCAACAAATCATCAGCATACTGCAAATTGTGGCCAACTCTACTGCAGGGCCATCCTCCACTATCTATATTTAGCTTAAGCAATCTCTCTCAGTGGAGAGAGCAAAGCATAAGGGGGTTGGATGGATCCTATATTAACCAGTCATTGGGCCTTCCACAGTGCTTACAAATGTCTGGGTGGTCCTATGCCTTACTATATTTGTATTATATGCATGAACATGTATTGTTCATCTCCTTGCCTGGTGAAATTTACTCCATCCTAAGGCGACCTCAAAAGTTACTGCTCCTACAAACAATACAAAATAAATTATTTGATTTTGCTTTGGGGCAGGGGTTGGGATTTGGGATGGAAACATTCAAAATATGGTGGTGGGAAGGTGTAATGGTGGTGGGATTGGTTGTTCAAATATTAAATGTAATCAAATATTGTGAACTACATTATAAAAATAAAATTAAATTAAAATAATTTTTAAAATAATTTTTGAACATAAAAAAAGGTACTGCTCCCTAACTGCTTTCATTTGCTTTGAAAGCAAGTCTTCTTTCCTGTGTGACAAAATCTGCTCATCTTTACAAATCTTCATTTACTATATAAAGATTAAAAAGGCCCTCCCGTTGATCATCGATTTGCTCGAGTGGGCCCAGTAACGTCTCCATTGGAGACTTTATTGTTACTGTGTCTGGCATATCGAATACTCTCGGTAGCTTGCCGGGCTCTCCGAGAGGGGCGGAGGAATCGAACTCGGGTCGGCCATGTTGGCTGCGTGCAAGGCAAACGCCCTACCCGCTGTGCTATCACTCCAGCCCATATATATATATATAAAGATTAGCTTTTTAAATATATTAGTCTAGTTGTTTGGTTCAAGAGATAGGACCATGTCTTATATGTTTTTATAATGTATCTCTGGGCTGGAGCAATAGCACAGCAGGTAGGGCGTTTGCCTTGCATGCAGCCAACATGGCCGACCCGAGTTCGATTCCTCCGCCCCTCTCGGAGAGCCCGGCAAGCTACCGAGAGTATCTCGCCCACACGGCTGAGCCTGGCAAGCTACCCGTGGTGTATTTGATATGCCAAACACAGTAACAAGTCTCACGATGGAGACGTTACTGGGCCCGCTTGAGTAAATCGATGAACAACTGGAGGACAGCGACAACGACAATGTATCTCCAAAACTATCTGACAGACAGCATTCAGTATGCTTTTTGAGTGTATAAATGACAAAAATAGGAAGAAAATATTCTAATGTTATACTGCTGTTATCTTTGAAGCATATAATGTTCAAAATGTTATACTGCTGTATTCTAGATAATTTTTAGATAATTTTATTTCAATTTATTCCAAATAATCTATATATTTATTAGAAACATTTAATGTGTGACATCTGAGTTTATAAGTAAGGAAGACAAATTTCCTTCTTTATGCAGGTAGTATTATTTTATTTTCATTAATGAGAAGCAGATTCAAAATGTCATAATAATTTTCATCAAGGAGTTACAATGAAAATAAAGAACAGTTCCGCATCATCAATGTCACCATCACAATTTCTTGCATTTCAGTGAGAATAATTTTATTAATATTTCTTCCAGTTAAAACAGTTTATGTAACTAAAGTATCCTGGTCGACCTCTCAGGAAATATCAGGATAGAGCTCTGTTTAAATTCTAAATATTCTCTAGAACACATAATAAGATTTTAAAATGATCTTGGGCATAGTTTAAGAATTAAAGTTTTCAAAATTTATGACACCAAAAAGTTTTATTTTTAGAATATATTCCATAAAACTGTAGTATAACTAGAACCAATATGTGAATACATTAATTAGATAACTATAAGCAAGAATATCTGTGTAATTTCTATATCTAGTCTTTTGGGAGATCTGGGTCTAGGAAGCCCGCAGATATGCATTATCATGTACTAATCTTTTTTGGAGGGGGTGGGGGTCATACTTGAAAGTGCTTAGGGTTTACTCCTAGCCCTGTGCTCAGAGACTACTTCTAGCAAGACTCAGGGAACACTATGTGGTGCCAGGGATCAAATTCAGGGCTGTTGCATGCAATGCAAGCACCCTCCACAGTATACAATTTCTTCAGTCCCCACACCCCCACCTCATCATGTACTAATCTTAAAAATAGTGACAGCACTGGGGAGATTGTCATATTTAATGGAGATTGGTTTTGCAAAAATAAAAGGAAACAACTTTCAAACCACACAACTGAACACTACTGTAACCCTGTCACCCACACAACTATATATATTCATTATATGTATATATATTGAATATCATATTCGATATGCCAAAAACAGTAACAATAACAAGACTCATTCCCCTGACCCTGAAAGAGCCTCCAATAAGGCAGTGTTGGGAAAGACGAGTAAGGAGAGGCTGCTAAGATCTCAGGGCTGGGATGAATGGAGACGTTACTGGCGCTCACTCTAGTAAATCGATGAATAACGGGATGACAGTGATACAGTGGTATGTATATAATAAAATTCATAATATAAAGAGCCAAAGAGGTTTGACTATCAGCATACATGCTGAAAAAGTTAGAAGTAGGGTAGCTTGGAGGATGTTCATGACTGTGGTATAGGTTATTTCTAAAAATGATAAAATGACACACTTCGAAATATTCACCAAAATTGCAGCAGTTCTACATTAATGCCTTCAATGAAAAAAACTTGTTCCAAAGATTAGTTCCTTTCATTCTAGGAGCTTGAGCACAATATTTACTAGAGATAGTGGAGAAGGTTTGCAGCCTCCTTTTCCTTGACTCTGTTGTCATTTATCATGAGATTAGAATCTTGAGTGATTGGCTGTTCTGCCTCTGAAAATGAATATCTTCAGCTGCAGAAGGATCATAAGAAAAAGAGATTTGAACTTTGCGTGCTTTTCCTGATCATAACACAAGAGTGTTTAGCCATAATCAGTTTCATCCCAAATACATATTACCTTACACAGATGGCCATTAATGGGCACTATGGGAATTACA